CATGCATAGCTCTTATGCACTCTTTTTAATACCTACCATTGTTACTATCCTCTGAGTCTTTTTCACGGGTGTTAGGGTAAAGAGTATATACATAAAGAAAAGGTCCAGGGGACCACCGCTGGAAGTTTTAATGGAACAAAGCCAATACAAAAACGTTATTAGTTAAACAGGTGTTCTACTTTTGAGAACAATTTAAATAATGATAAATCATCTCTGAACAAAAAGTATTTCCTTAGACCTTATGTATATCAGTCATAAACCAAACAGAGTCTAAATACTTGGTTAAAATAACAGTAGCAATAATTATCATAGCTGTCATTATTCTTTATTGAGGGTTTACTATGTGATGAGAACTATGTTGAGTTCTCATTGATTGTCTTAATCCTCCCAACAACCCAATGAGGGAGGTATGGCTGTAACTGCCACATTACACATCCAGACACTAATGCTCAAACTAAGAAAATTAATAAGAAGTAGCACAGCTGAAGAGTGCAGGAACTGGGATTCAAATGCAGGCATTATGAATCCAGAGCTGATACTTTCCCACTGTGCTAGAGTGCAGCAGGACACAGCTGTTTCAGTAATTCATGAATGAAAAGCCCTTACTGAATGGTGTTGCACTCAATTCTAAACAGAAGAAATATTCCTAGCATAGTAACCACTGTTTGGATTCCTTATCCTGGGTACAAATGATAAAACCGCTGGGCCATTTCTTCATCTTTGAATCCCCAACACTAAGCATAGTTCATGACACAGAGTAGGTACTAGAAAAACGTGTGTGATCAGATGAGTAAGTGAATGAATGCAATTTGGTCTTCAGTTTTCAAAAGAGTAGAAACGCTCTTCAAGGAAAATGGAAAATATATTCAGTATGATAAAGCCATTGTAGGAAGATTTTTTAATTCCTTAATATTAATTATTAACCTCATAAATATGAGCAAGGTTTTTTTTCTGAAATGAAATACATTTGAACCATATACTAAGACAATGACAACACTTACAGCATACTTTTGTGTACATTGTGATGACACATGATTTAATTGAGCAATTTCAACAGAGGTAATTAAACTCTAAAAAAATTTAAGTTATCCAAAACTGATTATGTTCACCCACAAGCCTAAATGACTAGTCTACGAGTAGCTGGGAACAGGAGCAGCTCATGCCTGTAATCCCAGCTATTCAAGAGGTGGAGATCAGGAAGGCTGTGGTTCTAGACGAGCCTCTGCAAAGAAATTAGTAAGACCCTGACTCAACAAGCTGCCAATCCCAGCTATTAAGAGGCATAGGTAAGAAGATTTCAGTCTGAGGCCAGCCAGGGACAAAACCACGACACATCATCTGAAAAATAACTAAGGCAAAAAGGTGTTTGGGGTGTTGGTCAAGTGATAGAGTACCTTCCTAGTGAGTGTGAGGCCCTAAGTTAAAACTCCAGTGCTGCCCCCCACCCTCCAAAAAAAGTCTGAGTTGAATGTGGCTGTTTTTTAAAAGTTAAAATTTTAGTAAAATAATTAAAATACACAACCTAAAATGTTCAATCAGCTCAGTTGTCTATTCCTAATCACTTATGCAACTAGAAAGCACATGTGAAGGCAAATCCTCAGTTTAACTGCCAGTTTCTTGGAAGTAAGAGAAAGAAGTCCACTGTTCAACTTAATAAAGTTGCCATTTGGCTTTTGGTTTCTGGATAATGGCAGATTTATACCAATTTTTATCAATATTGCCACAGATACAGTACTAGCCCTCTAGTAAATTCTATACCTCTCCAACAATCAATAAATCTGAACTGGCAGAAACTATGTGAAAATTAAAATTTTTATTTGAAGTTACCTATTTTCCTTTTTTATCAGAGAGGGTGTCTAATTCTAATGACAGTATTCACTCACTAATATTTATACATCTGAATGTTTTATAATAATAAAAATGCACTAGTCTTATACAACTCTCTTAATGCTTTTGTATTTGTGCTAAAAACAGCTCCATAAAAAAAGGCACTTTACAATCTGTTAGCCTTGTGAGATGAAATAGATGACTTTTTACAGTTAACTATCTCTCTGGGACATTTTCATCAATATATTAATACCAAGCCAAAATCCACTTATCTAGCTAAAACAAAAAGGACCTTTTAATTTTGTGCCCTTATAGAAAACAGTTTTTTCCTAAATAATCTAAACATGGTTGTCATTTTTCTGGGAGGGTGGGGGACTGGGATTTGAACTCAGAGTTTTATACTTACAAAGCAGGCACTCTACCATTTGAGACACACCTCCAGTCCATTTTGCTGTGGTTATTTTGGAGATGGGGTCTCACGAACTATTTGCCCAGGCTACACTCAAACCATGACCCCCCCAATCTCAGCCTCCTAAGTAGCTAGGATTATAGGCATGAGCTACCTGCACCTGGCTATGGTTGCCATTTTTAACGAACTGTTCACACAAATATCAAGTGAGTTGTTACATTTGATGATATAATCTTATAGTTCAAATATCAGCTAATTTTCATATGTTTTTCTATCTCATGATAAGGGATAAGATCAGTTATGCTGAATCCAAGTCAGAAACTATTACATATATGGCTAAGCTTTGTATTTATAACAAACCAAATAATAAAAGATTCTTTTCAGTCTAAAATATTATAAGCTTCAAAAAAGCTACAAATATTTAACAATTACCATAAAAAAATCAGCTCTGATATAGATTCAATGCCAACTCTTCCATAATCTTTATCACTAAGAAATTCCAAGGGCTGATGGAGTGGCTCAAGTGGTAGAGTGCCTGCCTAGCATGCATGAGACCCTGAGTTCAAACCCCAGTACTGCCAAAAAAGAAAAAGAAATTTCAAGGGCTGGGGACTTGACTAAGTGGTAAAGCAACTACTGAGTTAAAACTTCAGTTAAAAAAAAAAAAGTCCAGATTTTATCAGAAGGCATGTGAATCATTCTTCTTTGCCTCTTTGCTGTGTATGATATAATTCATCACAGAACTAAATGCATTCACTAATTTTTCTAATCACTTAAAAATGAGCTCTCTCTAGTCCTATGACAATTGGCAGTTTACATAAATTTACAAGGATATTTCATTTAATTTGTAAATCTTTAGTGAAAGTGAACCATGAGTGTATATTAAAACAAAATTTAAATAAAGTATCTGTTAAATCCCTACTTCAGTCTATTCAACATGTATCTTTCTTGAAGCAGATAGAAGCATTAATTATAAACAAATTAAAATTAAGTCAATAAAAAGGAATAGGAAGGTTACTCTTGAATCATTAACTTCTCAAAGTAAACTATTCCATAATTAGAATTCTTCACACAATTGTACCATAACAATGGTCTTCTACAGTTTAAAGCAATCTGCTGGTTAAGAATCTTGTTTATACTTTGCTAGCTAATTGTATCACAATGACTTTAGTACCATATTGTCATAAAATGTAAATAAGTCTTAAAGGCTGAAATCTCTTGCTGGCAAAAAGTTTTAACCACTTGGGCAGGATGGGAGGATGGAAGTTGTCAATCAAAATCTAACATCAGCCAGGCACAGTAGCTTACAACTGTAATCCCAGCTACTCAAGCTGAGATTGGAAGGACTGAGGTTCAAGGTCAACCCAAGTGAAAAAGTTAGCAAGACCCCATCTCAATCAATAAAGCTGGTATGGTGGTCGTATACCACCATACCAGCTACATGGGTGGCAGAATTGTAGTCCAAGGGCAGCCCCAGGTAAAAAAGTGAGACCCTATTAAAAAATAACTAAAGTGAAAGGACTGGGGGCATGGCTTGAGTAATAGAGCCCCCTACCTAACAGGTGTGAGGCCCTGAGTTTAAACCTGAGCACTGCCAAAGCCTAACACAAGATGATAGCAAGAATCACGCACCACGTAATGGTGTTCTGCTCAATGAAGGGCCACACATACAATGGTGGTGGTAGTCCCACTGGATAGTAATGGAGGTACATTGTAGCCATATCACTGTAGCACAATTCATTCCTTACCTCTGTGTTGGTGGTAGTGCTGATGTAAAGAAACTACAGTGTAGCCAGTCACATAAAAGTTTAGCAATATAATTATGTATAGTACTTAATTCTTGATGGTGAATCACTGCTACTGATTTATGGAGGTATGTATTTATTCATTTGGGGCAGTAGTAGGGTGTAAAGACAAAGCATTGTGCTTGTTAGGCAAGTTCTCTACCACTTCCACCACATTCCCTAGTCCTTTTTGCTTTAACTTATTTTTCAGATAGGGTTTGCTTTTGTCCAGAATGGCCTCAGACCTCGGTCCTCCTACCTCTACCTCCCACATAGCTGGAATTACTGGAGTGCACCACAAGACCTAGCCTCTTGATTTATGTATTATTACACTATGTTTTTTTCAATTGTCATTTTAGAGTACATGCTTTCTACTTCAAAAAAATTTTTTACTATAAAACAGTATGCTGTGTTATACCAGCAGCAACCTCACACATTACCTGTTTACCACATTCCTTCATTGCATTATTTTCTCCTGTGTTGTTTTGCTCATCATAGTCCCAGGAGTGATAGGCTATACCATACATAAATAGCATAGGTATACAACAGTTATACCACTTAGGCTGCATAAGTACACTCTTAAGATGCTTGCTCAATGACAAAATCACCTAATGATGCCTTTCCCAGTGCATCCCTATCATTAAGTGATTCATGACTATGTAGCATATTAAACAAGGGGAAAGGAATCTCAACATAAACTTGATACTGTTGACTCAAATCAGCGAATTATTTTTTTTCTTTGCTTAGGATGCACCTAAACACTTTCATTCTAACTTGAAACATGGAAGTTACTAGGTCTTTTGAAACTGGGCCATTCACAAACCACAGGCAACACAAATAATAATAAGTAAGCCCCTCCTCCCACACATACACATGAAAAAGTATGTGAAAAACTGGCTTCTGTAGCTGCATCTGACATGAGACTCATTTCTTTAAATTGCCAAGTTAATACAGTAAAAAAGAAAAAGACAAAAATCTACCAACTAGGCTGCGCTGCCATCCTCTCCATGTAGTCTTTGGCCATATCTCGAGCTTCGACATTCTCAGGATACAGCACACAGAACATTGCCAAGGCACCCAAGTTGTTTCCATAGATTTCATTCCAGCGAGCACTGTAGTCCTTAGGATCCCAGGGAGGGAGGTACTCCAAGGGGCTGGACAGCATGGTGTGCACAGCCTCAGTGAGCCGGGCTGCAATGTGCTCATGCGAGCCTGAGGCCCTGAGCTGGAGTTCTGCCACCTCTGCCTTGGAGAAGTACAGCATCGGGTGACTGTCATAGTTGGCATTGGTGAAAGGAATCATGACTTCTGGGTTGTTGTCGGTGATGTAGGCTGACACAAAGCAGAGCAAATATATGAAAAACACACTGGGAGCCCCCCGTGTGTGAGTCCTCATTGTGGCATCCGATCTCCAAATCTCCAAGGCAGCCAAACCATCTTCAAAAGATCCTATGTGAGATACAAAGAAGAGCATATGTCAGCTGAGGGAACGTGGGGTACATGGAAATGTGAGTAGGAAGGGACCTCCCTTAGGAGGGAAAGGACTAAATGTTAAACAGAAAAGTTTAAGAATTTTGATTTTTAAGATACAACAAAACTTTGAATTAGAAAGAAACGTACTAAAATATAGCAAGCTCTGATTTTATAGGATTAAACATATTATATCAGAATTGTATTATTAGGAAAGACACAACTTTGGACTTAGGGAAATAGCATATTTGTACAAGTAGGGAAATTAAAATCATCTTGCTATTTTCCTCACATATTATGCAGAAAGGTTTAGAACTTATGGGTTGTTTTTTTTTAGACATTAATACATAAACCACAATAACCAAAAGTTAGTGGTGAACTGTCGTCTGGGAATCTGAATAGACATTATGAAAAAATAGAAAATCTCGTACTTCTTAATCCAGTCTCCTCCACTCTAACTTCTCCCTTTTTCTTCACATTTTACATTCAAACTGAGGGTTAGGATCAATACATCTATAAGAATGTATGAATAATGCTAAATATTCTCTTCATATGAACAGAAAGTAGAGACAGAGAAAGAGAAATCATCTGCTAAGCAAGACCATAGTGAAGACCAAACATGGGACTGCTGGGACTAGAAACTGAAATGCCTTCATTCAGAAAATAAAATCTCTGAATTAAAAGGCTGAAATAACATGGGAGCATTTCCCCCTTATTATTTGAAACTACTGTCTACTTTTTCATTTTGAGTGTGGGAATTTGGTGTCACTCCATGTCAAATTTAAAACAAGCTCACATATTTTCTTAACTACTTCACTTTCTTAAAAGTCCTTTTTTCAATGGCAGATGTGTACACCGGTTATAAAAACATCTTTCAAATGTAGGAACACAAAAAAGAAGAAGAAGAAGAGGAAGAAAAGGAATAAAGAAAGAGAAAGAAAAAAAGAAAGAAACCCTCAGCCTAGTCTATGTCCCACATCTGGGATAAAGCAGGCATAAAAATCCCCCAGAGGAAAGTCAGGGAATTCTTAAAATTCTTAAGAGGGGAAAGGTTATAGAAAGCAGACCAGAAAAAGACAGTTTTATGTAAATAATGAACAGTGGTTTTCAATTATTAAAGAGAAAATAAAACGGTGAAAAATCAACCGCCCAAGCTGAACACAAACTATTTTTCCAAGGAAAAACTGCTTCATCACATTCAGAAGAAAGAAAAAGAAAAATTTAACACACTGAAGGTCAACCCACATGCTCAACTTGCTGAGTCCAATAGACAGGCAGATGGCATTGCGGTGGTTGCTGCCTTATTCTGGTAGACTTCCTATTCTTATATGTATTTTAGACTATAAATACATATGTGAAAACTCAGTGATAGTAGTTTTGCAAAACATTTCAGATTCAAGAGCAGAACTTTGATGAATAAAATAGAGCCGTGCTAAAAAAAAACATATAAAATAGAAATAACTCTTGGACTCTGCCAGTATTATGTCTAGCACCCAAAGCTTCAAGGCGGCTGGCTGAATCCTTCAAGGTCAGAGATCCAGCCAAAAGAAATAGTCTTCTGAGGTTTTGCCTGACTGAGAAGGGAGTGGTCTGGCAAGGGAGAGAAGTGGCTGGGTCTGAAGTAATGTTCAGTCCCCTAGGGGATTGTTTCTTGCTCCTCTCAGAGAACAATACTGTTAACAACTTTTAAAGCCTGTACATGTATAAATCCCAAAAAGTCTGAGGTTGGATGTTGTCATCAATGTAATTAGCGTTGTAGGGATTCAGGCTCCCAGAGTGAGGACAGTTGGAAGATTCTTCTTTAATTGGTCCTACATGTATGTAATTAGAGTTCTCTCAACTCCTGGGTTTTTTTTTTTTTTAAATGTGGTGGGGGATGGGGGTGGGAGGAGCCCAATATATTAGGAAAAACATAAGAAGATATGTCCAGACCAGAATTTTTCCATCTCAGATTCTGTATAAACATTTGCTTTATTCTCTTTTTCTTCTTCCCCCACGCGTACAAGCCTCATACAGGCACAGAGTTACTGAGATAGTCAACTGCTCCAAAGACTCCCTCACACTGTGGGATGTACACACTCAACCTGATGAAACTCTCCCTGTGATCCCAACCCTTCCGCCACACCGCTTCCAGTTACATAGGACATGGCTGAGCATACTGGAACGAGAAGGGATGGCCCTGAAATTCAGAACCCCATAAAGATACTCTTTTGGAAATGATGCCATCTCAATGTGCCAAAATATTTTTGAAGGTTTCTTAGTTATTGCTTCAAATTCATGTGAGAGTGTCAGAGCAGAAAGGCTATGGGTTACTACATATTAATACTGTTGGAAGAACCATTTGGACCAATGCAGAACCTACAGAAATTCTGTACACACTCATCAGCAGAGACTGCCTAACGAGAAAAGACCCCAGCATTCACAGTGCCACAAACTGTATGTTGCCTTCCTATATCTCCATGTGGCCAGCCCCCCACTGTTCACCCAACTACTGATGCTTCGTTGATCCACAATTTCTACTGTGTCTGGCACATACTGCCATCTCACTCTTGACTGTCTGCTTGTCTACATGCCATACCTCACAGCAGGCAAGAACCACAGCTTCCTCTGTGCATTACGTCTGGTGTATAAAAGGCACACAAATGGTAGCTGAGAACTGAACTCATAGGAGTTGGTAGAGTAGATCTCTCGTGACTGACATGAGCAAGAAGAAATTGTTTCCCCATACTTTAAGCCAAGGAAAGTTGAAAGTTTTCCAGAAAAAAAAAAAGTCTGCCAGGACATTTTCTTGAGGTATTGGTGTGTAAAGTCAGGGCCTCACGCTTGCTAGGCAGGCACTCTCCTACTTGAGCTGTACCTCCAGCCTGGAGAAAATACTCTCGAAACTTAGAAACTTAAGTAATCTAAACACATTACTTTTTTTTTTTTTTATTAAACAAAGAAGAGGCTGGGTGTGTTGACACATGCCTGTAATCCCAACTACCTGGGAAGGGAGAGATAGAAGGATTGCGGTTCAAAGCCAATCCAGGCAAAAAAGCTCACAAGACCCCATCTGAAGAAAAATAAGCTGGATGTGATGGTTCACACCTATAATTCCAGGTATTCATATTCAGGAGGCAGAGGTAGGAAGATTGTGTTCTGAGGCTAGAGGGGGTTGGGGTGGGGTGGGAGACTATCTAAAAAATAAACTAAAGAAAAAAAGGCTGAAAGCATGGCTCAAGTGGTAGAGAGAACACTTTCCCAGCAAACAAGAGACCCTGAGTTCAAACCCTAGTACCACCAAAAAAAAAAAAAAAAGTGAAGGAGGGAAGGAAGAGTATAGGTAAGTCTAACCCAAACTTGCTTTAGGCTACTCACCCACAGAAACATCTAGTTGCCATCCATCACTTTAAATTAACCTAGAAAATTCTCCCCCCCCCACCATTTTCAGTCTTTGGATTTCCCTTGTGATCATCCACCCTAGGCACTCTGACTACATACCCTAAAAATGAAAGGAATGTTTCAAGATAATTTTAAGTGAAGTACGAATAGGCAGATTTTATGCTAATTTTATGGACTTCTTTTAAGGTGCATTAGGAAAAACTGTAATTATCATATCAAACCAAGATTACCTGAGGTTATAAAGTTTTTGTTTAAAATATATTGAAGTTTGAAAAGGAAGCAAATGAATGTGGCAAAAATTGATTGTGACACCTTAATGGCTAGTTTGAGAGATGCTGAAAATGTTCAGTGAAGCAATGCCCATCAATGGCTAATGGGCTTACCAGAAAGACCTTTCCCAAACCTCTTGCCTGCCAAGAACAACCTCTCTGTCTGTCTGTCAGTCTCTGCACCCTGCACCACCCCCCACCATCCCCTCAACACATGCTGCCTTGCAGGAGTAAGTCTGACCTTTTAGATGTCTACAGATGATCTAAGCTATTCACCCACAAGTTAACTATGTTTCATAAACAGCAGAGCACTGCCAGCTCCCTTAAATCTCTGGCCCAGTTCACGAACCTGGCATTTCAATATGACAACTAGCTGTACTTGGTAGCCAACTCTATTTACACACAGCTAACACAGAATTCAAGACTCAAGATGTTTCTGAAGGACCCACTTGAACATCATTCTCCCTGAAATTTTCTTCCCAATCTTCCTCTAATACACTAACTTTCATAATACCACATTCCTTCCATTCTTTTGTCTCGGAAAGTAAAACATTCCTAAGTTTTTACTTAGTCAATGGATATGGTGTAGTTAATTAAGAATCACTGTATTACTACAAGATAATTCAGGTATCAGTGTGATCATTTCTCTGCTTGTATGCCCAATATGTATCTGCAGTAGCCAAATGAATTATAATTATCTTAAGTACATTTTCACAGTACCACATTAAGTCCAAAATTATTCTGTTTTAATTCTGGTTCTAATAATCCACTGTAGCTAATACACAATTACTGACAAAGAAACTTTGTTTCTATGATCCTAAGTACTTTTTATATATTTGATCTTTTGCTTTACAGTAACAATGTGAAAATCAGTATTGCTTATTCCATAATAGAATACATTCCAGAAGCAGAACTAGAACCTAAATCCAAAACCAAGGTTCTTTCCTTTAGCCAAACTAACTTTTAAGAAAGTTCAACATTAGAAGTTCCATTTTTGCCATCTTTACACAAAGAAAGTACAGAAAGAGTACTCTAAGAAGGAAATAACTGCACACTAACATAGTACTTTGAGTTTAAAAAAAGATGTGGATTTCCAAATGGTCTGGGACTGTTTATATAATGAACCACATAGTAGTACAAAAAGTTCTTTCAATCCCCCAAGCTTTAGGATGTATAGAAAGTGTAAAGACTGAAGAGAAAAATGGCCCAGTAGAAAGTAAAACATGTCCCAAATTAAGATGGATTAAAAAGCCTCTTACATGCCAAATTAAAGGAGCACAAAATAATGACTGACAGTATGGAAGTTAGAGTTGGGCAGACATGAGTA